TACAATCAAGATATTTAAAAAAAAATAAGAAAAAAAAATAAAAGACGTGCAGAGATTAGGCGCCAAGGGGCACAGAGAACCTACATGTATTTGGTTTGTTATCTATTTCATTTCATTTCATTGTTATATCATATTCGTTTTAGTGCTAGCAATCAATCGCAGCAAAAATGCTGATAATAAACGAGCACATACAGACTACAAGATCAACCGGAAGATGTTTGCAATGTATTTCAAGTTTTTCAACTGGAATATCTCTAGATGATGCATTTATCTATAGTTCCATATCACAATCCAAGACAGCAATACTAAACATAAATTGATGAAAACGACCTGATAAGACTTTAGTTGACATTTTTATTTGGATCATACTGTAACCTTTAATTAGGTCTATAGGGTGATGTCTTTGCAAAAACCTTGCATGGACCAACAGAATCTGATGTCCTAGACAAAGACACTAATTGGTTATCATCGAATCACCTCCAACTATTTCATTTCATTTTCAACCAAACCATGGTGGGGAAAGATTTAATACTCCTCAAGTGCTGGAGTGTATGACATCACAAGATAAACAGTGCTGTAGACATGCAAACAGCAATGCACTGAGCTTTTCTCTTGACTCCCAAGCCGGATTGAGCTTGAATGACCACGTGCAATTTCCCCTGAACAAAATGTACCTGCTAGTGGCATGTCAGGAAAGTTCTCCAAAAATGGGGAACTGTCAACATTACGGTGGTCAAAGAAAGGTTTCCCACGACCACAGCAGGAGAAAATAAAACCCCCAAAAGGCTCCTCCTTGTTAATTGCATTATCAACATCCCTGCAGCTGCAATTTTTGGTTTCCCAATCTAATTTCAAATTTCCGAAGGCCATGGAGACATTATTACATGATGTCTTTGCAGCTCTAGAATCTGCGAGGTAGAACTGGAAAGTATCACCACTTCTGATACCAACATCATCAACATAAAGGTACTCCTCATCACCTCTGTCAAAAAAATAAAAAATGGAACTTTGTTTCAATAACAAGTAAGAATTCAAGGCAGACATGTGATGTGATCTGTTTCCCGAAGGCCCCACAATTATTCATATTTGCAGATAAGGGACTGGTGATTTGAGTGCTTTCTAGAAAGGCCTTGAAGTCTTGTAGATGTTTTTTACTAGTCATATAACTTGGAGAATTAGACATACAACAGAAGCAATACAGATGCAAAGAGTATTCTCCAAGCTCTATAATTCACTCTCCTGAATTAGAGTGAACATGAATAAGAAGGCTGACTTAGGCCCTCTTGATAAAATGGTTCAGTCCAAGTGCCTCATAAGAAGCACGGGCAAGAAGCAGCCTGTGACAAATGGGTGTTTGATAGAGAGGTCAAACAAAGAAGTGGAAAGAGATTTATATCTTACCGTATAACTTCATGGAACACCAAAGATGTCTTCAACCTTGCCTTCTCTGAGCCAACCGAATAGTTTCTTCTTTTTGTGACTCCAATGTATAGCTCAGATTGATCAAGTTCTTCAAAAATTTGCACATGATTTTCCAGCTACCACAAAGTTGCATATAAGTTTGAAATATATCTACATAATGAAATACTTAGAATCTACAAGAATAATATTATTTTTGTTTATTTATTTTTTCTTTTTCATGGTTCTGTAGCTGCTATATAAATTATCACCTCAAATGACCTTACTTTTGAAATTTGTGAACCTCTTTTCCACATTAAAAACAATTTGTAAAATCTTTGTGAGTTCTTGAACCAGAAAAGTTTCTTGTTCTTACTTTTTATTACTTTTATTCAGAGGAACACCAAACTTTTAAACTTCTACTCATTGTTTAGGGGGCCAAAAAATGACACTAACAAAAAAAAGAAGAGAAAAAAAAAAGTGCTACATCATTTTTATTTTCACTTTTTCCCCTTTTTTTGCCTTAAAACTTTTATTTGAATAGCCAAGTACCTTTTGTTTAAGATAACTAGTTAATTTGATAATTAGCCAATTAACTTCTGCAGACCTTACAAATAACAATCAACAGACTATAGCCGATTATTCTCTGAAAAATAAATCAGTTAAAGTTAGACAATTAATTTGGCCATTTCCCCAGAAGTAAACTTTAAGGGGGTCTAAATGCCCTAGTTTCTGTGGCAAATGCTTTCCCCCCCCCAAAAACTTTAGGCAACCAAACCCCAAAATCCTTTTTTGGGGAGTTGTTTTCAGGGCACTTTCCAGGCCCCAACCAAAGACAACTTAAAAGAGGTGGGCATACATGTCGATACATTCTCTCTTTTTCAATTCTTTTTCTTGTTTGGACTCCTTCAATTTGTTTTAAATTATGGAATCAGATATGAATAACAAAAACTTATGGAAAAGATGGTAATATTTCTAAATTATTCCATAATTTAGAAGAGAATAAGCAACCTCATTCCCACACCTTATTCTCAACTGTGAAGCAATTCTTTTTAATTTTTCCCTTTTTTTTATGCATTGATATGGAATTCATTTAACCAAACCAAACATTACAAAGAGATCTTCTCACAATAAATCCAAGCATCATCTCCATGATGCAAGACTTTTCATCTAAAACATAATAGAAGTTTTTTTTACTTCTTTTTCCTGAGATACTAACCTGTGGATGAGCATAGAGAGAGGATAAACACAAGAGGAGAGAATAGGACAAAGAAAGAGAAAGAAAAGGGACATAAGCTAGAGAGTTTGTAGAGAACAGAAATCAAGGGAAGTAAAGGACAGTAACAAAGGAAAAAAAGCAGAAGGAACAAGACAATATCTATCGAACGAGAGAGTAATGAAGGTTAAAACATCAGTTCAATAAGTTTGAATCAACTAAACTATAATTTTCAATTTTAAAAGCACATCTAGCACTCTAGATGAATGCAATCCAACTACCTCTTGGTTATGATCCACTGAACCAGATGCAAATACAGAATAATCTCATCTCAACCAATGAGTTCTAACAACAAGACTCATATGATTTTTTCTGTCCCTAATAACTATACAAACTGACACTAAAACAGCCTCATGATGATTTTTCCTGTTGACTTCTTAGCTTTAACAATAACAGGTAGTTAAGAAACAGTTAAAGAAAATACATGGGACAATGAAGTCACAGCCTAACCTATAGTAGAGACTCTAGCAAGTAGGAAATCTTAAATAAAGCCACCTATCTGATGTTAAGAGATGAATCTCAACACTATTTTAGTGCTATTAGCAAGACATAAAAGAAACTAACTACTAAATGGATACAAAAATAAAACAAAGCTTTAATCTCAGGAAGACAAGCACATCAACTGACCTCAGCATTGACGTCATCCAGAAGTTGTTGACCATCAAGAACATCCTTCTGTCTTTCCCTTCTGGCCGTGAGCCATGTACTGCCCTCAGAGTCATTCACTCTAACAGAAGCTGCCTTGTAGCTTTGTCCAATTGCTAATACACCATCCGACAATGCAACATGAAACCGAATGTCCCCGATACCTGAAAATTTTTATCATATTAGCATTACCATTAAGCTCAAGTAACATATGAATATGCACATATGCAAGACATGAACAATGATGAGTGTCTGAAAATAGTATAAAGCAAACTTAAGTGATAGTTTTCATAATTACTTCACATTACAGAATAAACTATGCAAAACACATTGGTAACCAAAAAGAGCAGAAAAATATATTAAAGAAAAAATGGGTAGGAAAGAGAAAAATGAAATAAAAAAGAACCATTTGAAGTAACTCATAAAAGATAGATTCTGGAAATTTAATATTCTTTAGAATAAAAATCTCTTTATAAGGAAACAAAGCGTGGGACTGGGGAAGAGAGCTAGAATATGTTGATGGTAATAATCAGTAAGCCCAAAAAAGGTTTAAAGATTGTAAAAGGATTAATGAAGCCAGATACTGCATGGAATAGAAAATGGCACCAAAAAATTTGGAGCACCACCTTGTGATCAGGTGTCTAGCTCCAAGAAAATCCGAAATGCCAACACACAAACATAAAAGTAGCCAGCTAAAAATGTTATAGTAAATTAAGAACTGCAAGAAATGGTAAACATAAATTAACTTCTGTCCTTACTGTGACTTATGAGTTATCACTGAAAAATTTTGCTGAAGAGAAACTCCACTATCATAGAATGCTTCATATCACAATGAATGAATATACAAGCCAACCATTTTCAGCTTATGCGGGTTTGAGACAAAAAAAAAAAAAAGGTTTTGCTATTAAATATCTAGGTGAATGAAGGTAGCCGCCTTTTCCTCTTATCTTTCTCAACTTCTTGCAAAGGAAATCATGCATGTTCAGGATTAATTGAACCATAAGAATTATCTGTGGGGGAAAAAAGCAACAAATACATAAACAAATTGATGATTACCATGAGCTTTGTCTCTATCATTTGCAAAAACAAGAGCGACAGCATCAATAGAGCATCTTAGACTACCAATAATATTTCTTGAATTGTTTCCACTTTTGTACAAAAATGGGCACCTCTCATCACCGACAATGATGGTTTTCATGGGCATGGCATGATCTGTAAGATTAGGATAATTAAATATTTGAGGGGCTAAATATGACCATTTCTGATAATAATTGATAATACTAATGAGCCTGCAGAATACAGCCAAATGACATGTTCTCTAGTCTGTACTTTTCAGTTTTTAAAAGAGATTCTCATTTCAAATAAGCCAGACAGAAGCATTAGGTTATTTAAGCAGAGATTTTCTTTAGATTTCTGATGTAGAAGCTGTTAAGTTTGTCTTCCCATTTTTAGCCACCAAATGAATGATTCTTTACCTTATGAACAAACTGCAAATGAAAGAAAGATAAGCAAAGTTTCTGTTGAAGAATGCTCACCCAACTTCTCAATAACAGGTTTCTGGTCAAAATCTCCAACCTATAGCCACCTTATATTTTAGCAGTTGAACTCAGAAAAAAACCTCAGTTAAAGAGACAAGAGCTGGAAAGCAAGGAAACGTTACTAACCCCAAACATAATTATCCCAATGGGTGATGTGCAGCCTGAAACAGAAGCTGTATAATTCCTAATATCCATCACAAACTTGTCAATCATTTCCGGTCGAGGAGCCTAATGTCATTGAATTCATGGAGGTCAATTTTCTTTAATTGTTGAAAGGGGAAAAAACAAGTTCAAAGAGCCCTGAAAACACGCTTTAAAGCTACCACTATAAAAGATAGACCATTATTTGTTTTGGCCAGAAAGAGATGGAATGTTTTGGGTTTTTCATGAAAAAACTTGGTAAAACAAATTGGATGAAATGTGAAAGGTAGGGGTTCTCTATTGGATTTTAACACAAAAATGGTCACCTTTTTTGGTTTACAAAGAGGGATAGCATCAACTTTAATTCCTGGGACATATCCAACAGTCAAAACAATGCCAGAATGTGCATACACTCCTTCATCATCATCATCAGATAAATCTCCCCTCCACTTGATCTGCATATGATTTTGAAACAAAATTAAATATGAATTGAAACCTCTAAACAATGATACCCTTCTAAATTCTTTCTTCCTTCCAACAAAAAAAAAAAAAAAAAAAAAAAAAAAAAAAAAAAAAAAAAAAAAAAAAAAGAAGGAAAAATGCATGAACTCAAACCTCTTTAAATTCATCAGTAACAGCATCTCTTCCAATGACCCCACTAACAGAAGATACGACAATTGGAGTATTGGATCCCAACCTGTCTACTATCTACATCACAAACATTCATTAAACAATCATTTCAGAGGAGGAAACGAAAGATGATTCAATCAACCTTGAAAAAAAAAAGGAAAAGCTTTAGCCGAAGAGTTCATACAAATTTGAGAGTCTGTTTCAACTTCATTCCAGGGCCAATGTTTGCAATTGCAAAATGCGGGCGAATTGGCTGGGAAAGAACCTTATCAACAACTTCTCTTAGGGCAGCCTTACAATTCAAAAAAGAAGACAAGTTTCATACTTTCACCAAATAATTGTAAATAAAGCGAAATTTTTTTCCATGAAATAAACGAAATCCACAGAATTCAGAATCAAAATCTTAAAATTTTCCAATTCTTTTCTTTCCAGGGCAGAAAATCAGAGAAAATCCTCAGACTTACAAGAGGAGATGGATTGAGGGAGATGGCAGAGGCGAGCTTAGGACGAGAGAGGATGCGATTACAGACTCTGTTCCAGGTCTTGCTAACGCAGGCGGCTGAGGCGAAGGGAAAGGCCGAAAGCCTTGACAGTATGCAGTGAAGAACATCATCGTTAATCAGAGCGGCGGGGCTTGTGGTTTCCCTCCTTGGTCTTTTAGCCTTTCTCTCTTTCTCGCTCTCCTCCATCGAATTAAATTTGGTACCGCAGCTGCTTCAGTTCTTCAAAGCGCAGCACCATCTGTTGTGTTGAATAAAACGCTACGTTTTCCTCTTAGAAGTGCATGGTTCACGCGGCGTTCCTGCAAGTTGCCATGTGGGGGATGTCTCCGGGTTGACAATTGGATCATAAAAAAAAGGCAAAAATATGACATAAGGATCCGAACTTACACCAAATTCGCAATTTCGGACCCAAACTTCGATTGTGCTCAATGAAGGTCCCAAACTCCACGAAATTCTCAAATAAGGTACCAATTG